CTCTGTGCAGGTGTTATTAACAATCACATAAACTATGAAGCCATACATTGAATAAGCTATACATATAATATGATTATCATAACCTTTATTTTTAAAATCATGCCAGTGAGCTAATTGCATGTACAGAGTGAAAGAAAGTAAAGTAAAGCAGTAGAATTTCTGTACTAGCTATGATAGTACTTCATATGATTCGTCCTCATCGTCATCATTCAATGTGGTCTTAATCTCTTGCTACTAGTGACTGGTAATACCTCTGTAGATTCTTCACACTGGCAGAGTACCGTACTCCTTCTCTCTTGTCAGCTCAATACTTTTGTGACAACATCAAAGTGATTTTAATTTGTATGTTGGAAAAATACAAAAGACTAACATCCTAAGTTATTGACATTCTTGAGTAAGAACAATCAGTTTTTGAATGTTAAAAGCAAAACAACGAAAATAAAAAAAAATGTTGAAATTGTTAAAATGCAGAATTGTTAAAATTGTTAAAACTGATAAAATTGTTAAAAATGATAAAATTGTTAAAAATGTTAAATTGCTAAAAATATTAATGTCCGATGCACTGGGGTTCGAACTTGCAATGCCTGGGATTGCCGTCTGGCGCGTTACCAACCGAGCTAACTCGGTGCGATACACATCACTCACTGCATTGTATGTCATAAAAAGTAAACAGCATGGCGGTATCGATCGCTTCAAGGCACCAAGACTTTCAACTATTAACTACGGGGTTTCCTTCTTTATCAGGTTTGCTTTTGAACCACCTTGATGTTACTTAACTATCAACCCGGCTAGCAGAAGCCGCCGGCTCCTTTAATATTACAGCCGCTCCCTGTCCAATCTTCGAAAACTGTCGGGCATGCAAGCCCTCGACGCTCGCCAGGAAGCCGTCTCGCGATGTTCTCAGCAACAACAAACGAACGCCTGTACACTCTACAATTTTGGTGATTCTTCGGAGATCGATAACAGAACCTAGATAATACTAGTTGGTAAAGATTGCGGAAAATTGTTGATACCGTGGCGCGCGCGCCGACGATACACATTACGTACCGCGTAACTTTTTTGTTTACACGCCGGGCGCAGGTCATTGACCTCCAACTTGCGTTGTTCCAACAGAGAAGAGCAAAATGTCTGGCTCCCGCAGAACGTACCGCACTCTCCCGCTGGACGTACCGCACTCTCCCGCAGAACGTATCGCACTCTCCCGGAGGACGTCCCGCACTCTCCCGAGGGAAGTCCCGCACAGCGTCCTGCACTCTCCCGCAGAACGTCCCTCGAAAATCGATGCGTATTTCGTGGCCTGTGCTGTACCTACCAAAACACTTGAGTTCATACTGTCAAAATGGAATGGCTTTGAACAGGTGTTAATTGAGTTAATCCAATCAAATCCAACAGCCAATCAGCAAGAAGAATAGATTGGTCTGCGTCAGGTTCATGCTTGCATGCCCATATATGGGCATACCGCCGAAATCCTTTCTTATTACGTCACGCGCGCGCGCCCCCACAGTACTTTCCTATGGGGACCGCTAAAAAAGCAAATAAAACGATTGTAAAAGCTTGTATCACAAAAATTTAAAAACGCCTAGGGGTATTTGCCCACTGTACCTCCATACCAAATTTCAGGACCTTAGGCCTTAAAATGAAGAAGCTGAATCCATTTAAAAAATGGCAGGAGGAGGAGAAGAAGAAGAAGAAGAAACATCAGAAAAAGCAATATGGTTTCACCACACCCATAATTAAACGTAACAGTGAAATCATACTACTAGATAACGATTACAAATTTTATATTTATATATTATAAAAAGAACTAACCGGAAAGAGCGTAAAAGAAACATAGCCTATCTGGTTACCTTCGCCAAGAAGGTTATGTTTTCGTTGGCGTTCGTGTGTCTGTGTGTGTGTGCGTGTGTGTGTGTGTGTGTCAACACGATAACTCAAGAAGGCTAAGATGGATTGTCTTTATATTTGGTAGGTAAGTAGGTCTTGATGAGACCTGGAACTGATTAGATTTTGGACCCCCTGGCGGCTTGTTATGATACTGCAGCTGAACTTCCGGTTTTGATATCTCGTGATCTGGACATGGTAGGGTCACTAAATTTGGATGATAGGTAGCTCTTTGGCTGGGGAAGAAGTGACATGGGTTTGGACCCCCTACCGGTTTGTTCTGGAACTGCAGAAGTATTCGTTGAAAAATATTCGAAGGAGGATAACTCAAGAACCGATTGACGGATCATCATGATTGTTGGTATGTGGGTAAAGAATGCTTGACATATGAAAATGATAGTTATCCAAATCAGCAACTAATTAGCATAATTAATGAGGAAGGGTTTGGACCCCCTACCGGTTTGTTCTGGAACTGCAGAAGTATTCGTTGAAAAATATTCGAAGGAGGATAACTCAAGAACCGATTGACGGATCATCATGATTGTTGGTATGTGGGTAAAGAATGCTTGACATATGAAAATGATAGTTATCCAAATCAGCAACTAATTAGCATAATTAATGAGGAAATGCTATAAATCTGCTACCTTCCATGATATGATTATTCAAACGTGTGGCATGTGTAATTGTGAAGAAGAAGAACATTGACAGGTAGTGCTTATGCAAATGAATGCCTAAAACATTCGTCAATGCCTAAGGGTAACATCATTTGGCGAAGGTATGGGATCGTGGAACTCTAGTTTGCAATGCAATAGTTTCAAGTTGTGTGAGTCCTCTAAGCTGAAAAAAATCTTGCAGAAGTAAACATAACGATTACAAAGTTGGTTAAACCAGGTATAAAAACGCAATCCTAACTTACCTTTGACACATTCTGCTCGCCATTCATTCATTATGGTATTAATGCACTCATTACAAATGCAGAAAAAATAATTGGGCACATCAAGTTTCAACCATCGTTAGCTAAAATTACATATTGCTACACAATCTACTCATACACATACTAGTTTTAAAAATAAAGGCAATTAATAACTCATATAAATATTGTCAGCACTATAAGACAAGTTCATAGCAATGGAGGCTATTTGAAAACAAATGACGTAAAAAGATATGGTGGTGAATATAAAATTACAATACAGTTTAAAGAGAATCCTAAAATTTGCTATCTGATACAGGTAAGAACATATTGCTGTACAGCATAGTTTGTAGGGATATATGACTTGACGGAATAATGAAAATGCATTTTCCAAAGAATAAAACACAAAACGCCCACCCAAAAACAATAACATTCTGTTGACACGGTAAACTTGATCTTGATCTACCGTAGAAGGGGCACGTCATCACCATCTCCAAACCACTGGTCGTCTGGATCTAGTAATAGAATTTCATCTTGCAGTTCTAGAATGTCCCGCACGGGGGCATGGACCTGCACTTCCACAAGGTTCCTTACTGGAGCCTGTTCTTGCTGTTCCGGAATGTTCCGTCCCAGAGCTTGCTGTTCCGGAATGTTCCGTTCCGGAGCAGGTGCCTGCTGTTCCGGAATGTTCCTTTCCGGGGCACGTGCCTGCTGTTCCGGAATGTTTCGTTCCGGAATGTTTCGTTCCTGTGCCTGCTGCTGATGATCAGGCTCTGGGTCCCGGGGTAGAGGATCGCCCAGAGCGTCTCGCAGCCGCCTCCAGAACAGCGGCCTTTTCCGCACGTCGCCTGGCCACGCCAGGTACGTGTCCCTCTTCACTACGGCGTTCAGATGGCGGAACTGTTTCAGCATTGGGTTAGGAATCCTCTCCAGAAACACCAGGATGAGACGCACCCCTCCCCCCTCCTCAAACATGTGGTACTGGGCTAGCTGGAACTCGTACTCGCACCACTTACTCTTCAGGAAGTTCCTGGTGATGAGGCAGACGGTTCTCCGGCTGTTTTCCACGGCATCCGCGATGTTTTTCACAATGGGAGCGCCCACTGCAAAGTCCCTTTCGTGTAAGACCAGACTGTAGTCAGGTTCCAGATTCTCTATCGCTTCATGTATAACCCAGCCGACGTCCCGGTTGTTGTAGGCAAGAAAAGCATCGTGCGTGTATCTGGGCGGCCCTTGGTTCTTTACTTCGCCAATCTTCGGTCTCCTCCACTTGTCCAACATCCACAGGTAGTACTGAACACGGCCGACGTGGTAGTCGACCATGAAAATGGTCGTCATGGCGACGAAGATGCCCGAAGAGGCGAGCACACAAGCCAGGAGGCGGTTGGGTCGGAATCCATGACTACAGTCTGTGTCGAAGAACTTTCGTTCTGGTGGATCCTGTCTGTCGTTAGAGTGTTGTTTCTGAGTCAACCCGTCTGCCAAACGTCTTCCACGCAGATGAACCGGAAGGAAACATGTGTACCCTCGACCTAAGTCAGGATAGGGGTTGTGGAAGTTCACTACCCTGTCGTATCTATCCAGGGCCAACTCAACAAACCACATTAACTTACAGTCACACAGAAATGGGTTGTCTGCAATGTCGATAGTCTCTAACCGGTAGAGAACAGGACCCGAATATGTTTGATTTAACACAGCCAACCTGTTGCTGCTCAGATTCAGGTACCTTAACCCGTGCAGACGCTGAAAGGTGTCTCCAATCACTGCTATTCTGTTGGCTTCCAGGTTTAGATGTGTAAGGTTGCCTAAATCTTCAAATGTCATCCCTGCTATGTTCGTTATCTTGTTGTTACTGAGATCCAGGAACTGTAGCCGCGATAGTCCACGGAAGGCGGATGGCATGACGGTGTTGATCATGTTATAACTGAGGTCCAAATGCTCCAGCTGGTCAAACCATGTCAATTGTCCTGTTTCGATACGCTGGATTTGGTTGTGAGAAAGAGTCATCGTTTTCAAAATTACTTGATTCAGGGGCCATAGTGATACAATAGTAGATACCGCGTTGTTATCCAGCCTAAGTGTTTCTAAGACTGATTGCTCACATGATGACATTGATGTATCGTCTTGATAAAAACGAGAGATTTCATTGTTAGAAAGGTCGATATACCGTAAACTTGCAAACCAGAATGGATTATACATGTGTCCTATGTTGTTGTTCTGAAAATCAAGCACAGTAATATTCCTAGGTAGACAATCAATGTCAACAATGTCAATTTCATTATGACTCAAATTCAGATTATTCGCGCTTTTTAAACCACTGAGGTTAAATGATAAAGGGCTGGCACATGGTGATTGATCTGCGTCTCTGTTGTTGTATATCTTATTGTGACTGAGATCAAGATAGTCCAATGTCTCTGGAAGCTGAGCTTGGGAGGTTTCCAACTTGTTATAGCTCAAATCGAGATGAGTGAGCGAGGTCAGTCCTTCAAACACGTCTGGTGGTAAAGTAGGAATAATGTTACCTGCTAAGTTAAGATGAGTGAGTGAGGACAGTCCGCTGAATGCCTTGTTGTGTAACGTTAATGACTCGAAGGTGCCATGCGTCACACCCAGCCTTTGTAAATGTGACAAACCCTCAAAGGCGTTAGTCTCTACGGCTTTCATGTAGCCAATGTAAAAAATTAATGTTTTCAAATGTTTTAGACCTTTTAATCCCGCTAGAGCGTCAGATGTTATTGTATCAATTTCCCACAGTAGTGCTAATGACAACTCCTGAATCTGCGTGTGTCGGAGTTCAGGCAGAACGTCCATAATGTCGGGATATGGAGGAGACAAGGTGTCCAGCGTCTGCAGATGTGTGAGTGACTTCAGCAGGCCGGGAGCTATCTGAGCGTCAGTGCGTAAATGTTTCAGAGTCGGTAATAACGGCCGGAACATTTTAGCATAGAGAGGAGGAAATGGAAAGTATATGCTTATACTCTCCAACTTAGACATGTTTCTAAATACAGGTCCAAAGTAGTAATCACTGGCTCTTGGCAGAGAGTACAGACTCAATGTTGTAAGGTTGTGCAGCGGTGCCCACAGCAGGCGTCGTTGTAAGAACCCACTTCCGCTGTGGACTCTTCTCATGGTGGCATTTTCGTCCTCTTCTATGCTAAAGCTAAATTCCGTAAAGTTTATGTGTAGACTTTCCAATGAAGTCAAAGAATCAAACACGTGATCAGGTAAATTTCCGGTATATTCGAAATATTCCCCGCTTAGCCTTAGTTCTAAATGTGTCAGTTTAGATAACCCCGTGAACACTCCCTCACTGGCAGTTCTATCGGTGTAAGTCCCCACGGTCAGATAGTTCAGGTTTCGCAGATCGTGGAAAAGTCCATTTTGAAGAGGATAGGTGGCCAAGGGGGAATACCATATCTCTGAACGCAGTTCAAGACGTTCTAACTTCTCCAACCCGGCGAACGCACCGACCTCGATAGTCTCTAAAGGATTACAAGACAGGTCTAAGAATGTCAGGTTTCCTAACCGACTAAACGAGCCGTTATACAGTACAGATATGTTGTTCTTACTGAGATCCACCGTGATGACAGATTCGGGGATGCCGACAGGTAGTTGGGTTAGACGCGCATGGGTTTGAAGATACCAGTCATCCCCGTGACACTCGACAGTTGTTGAGTTCCAGGTCTGACACACAGGTGGGGGAAGTTGTCCTCTAACCCGTCCATGTTGGGCGATGAACACGGAAACCACAGCCAAGCAGACGGGGAGAGGAGCGGGTTTAGACTCCATGTCGGACTGGTGGTGTTTTTTTTTCGTTGCGCGGACCTATGGAGAGAGTACGAGGAGAGGAAAGGAGGCTTAGTTGTTGATATATAATGTATGAGTGTGTAATACTTACATGTCTAGTTTGTGTAACGCAAACTCTGCCGTCCGAGGCCTTAGGGCGGATGGATGTTGGGCGGGTGGCAACCGTACAAGGCGGTTTAATCAGGCTAATACATGTCCATTTACAAAAAAAAGCAGAAGCTGGCATTTTTCTGACCCGTTTATCTACATTAGGCCATGTTGATTTGATTATATGGATGACATCCGCGCGCGCATGGATTTTCGGCCGTTTCCAAAAAAAAAAGTTTTCAACCATACTGTAAATCGTACAAAACAGTTGCAAAATGAGGAAAAATATACCGTAAGTTACAAAAAAAACCATACCAATCTCGTAGAATGCCAAAATCAAACGAAAAAAGACGAAATTGTAAAGAAATGAATTCGAAGAGTAGATTATTCGCCAAACCATCTTCTGTGCCATTTGTTCAACCTTCAAAACCGCGTACATTTCATAATGAAAACAACTTTTTTTTTGCAAAACTTTTTTTTTATTCGCACGCTCGCATCAATTTTGGGGTTCCCGGAGGATGTCATCCATATAATCAAATCAACATGGCCTTAATGATCTACGGCTTGCTCAAAAGATAAACACAGCATTTCCTTGTTCCGTTCTGTCTGAAATGTGTTTCCGAAAGCTGTCATGCGTTTTGGGAACTACGGTGGCCCATACGGACAAACACGTCTGCGAAAATAATTGCATGAGCTGCGCACGATCCTGCTTTGTTTAGCAAGTTATTACTTCGCCCAATCTTATAAAAAAAAACATTTGTAATCTTGGAAAGTAATTCAGAGTGACAACTTGTGTTCCGACGTCCAAAATATGGCGGCCGACCACAGAACACTTGCCAACAGATGCTTGAAGACCACCAAAATCTTGTCGAATAATTTAGATTAAGGGATGGATACCTCGATGAGATGAGAGAAATTATACTGATCTGCCTCAGCCCATTTTCCGAGCCTTAACCACGCAACGTATATTTACTCTCCAATCAGAGGTTGCTGGTGGAAGATCGTTTGCTTTTAAAATTTTATATATGGCTCGTTTCTTTTTGTCGGATTAAGGAAACCATTTTATTCTATAACGCCACAACTGTATCTAACAACTGAAGGTATTTCCTCCAAATAGCTGGACTTTTAAGCCTCTTTTTAGAGTGATTAATTACAGATTGAGACTGTGCTGCCTTGGTAAAGGCTCTGGTGTCTATATCTCCAATCCACAATCATTTCAAGTACACGAATGAAAAGAAATTTTAAAACCCACCTTCACAACAAGATGAAGTCTGTGAGAAGAGCTGGAGCGGCGGTGGGGAGGGTGGCGCGGAAGGGTCCCCCGTCTGAAACAACTGATCTCCAAGCAGATCTTCTGGCGGAATCAAAGTAGCAGGACAGTGTATCCAATATGCCACCGTTTGACTGGTGAAAAACGATACTTGTACACAAAAAAGGGGAAAAACGGCTCAAAACTAAGACTAATCCTAAATCTCTGCTTGTAGAGTATGAACCACCCGTCTATCTGCGGCCTGCTCACAAGATTGGCACTGCATTTCCTTGTTCCGTTCTGTCTGACATGAAGCGATAACGTGTCCGGAACTCCAAACGTGGGGCGGCCAATCACGGATACAGGCGGCCAACAAAAAGTCCCCTTGCCCCACCGAATCTGCTTGGAGATTACCTAACCCTGCGAAAATACTCAAATACGTCATTTGAGGAAATAATTCCTTGAGTTGCAAGCCTGATCCTGCCTTGTTTAGCAAGTTATTCATGATTGCATGACTCGGTCAAACAGTACACAACGTTTGAAATCTTGAAACGTAATTCATGGTTCATACCATGGCAGCCCACTACAGAGCACTAGCCGACTGTGGATGGGGGGAAGGGTAATGACCGTGGGAGGCGACTGGGCTCCGGGCCAACGCAGCGCATATATCTACTTTAAAGGGGTCGGCTTAAAATAGTGCATAAGCTGGAAATATCGTGCATGTCAAGAGAGGCCTATACTTACTAACACCCCTAAGCTGACCTGTGGATAATGGTAACCAGGCTAGACTGGGGTCCGGTAAGACACCCATAAGCCGGCTTGTGGAGATAAACTCCACCAGACTCCTTTGCAGGCTGAATAAATAGTAGAAATCGGCTAAGGGAACATCATTGGCCAGAGGAGTTGGCCGGCCATAGAGGGTCCTATTTATTCAGCCTGCAAAGGAGTCTGGTGGAGACTACTGTGGAGACAGGTAACCAGGCTAGCCCTGGAGCCGAGGAGCTGACCAGTGTACTGGCCCTTGCAACAGTCTGGTACCCAGGCTAGCCCTGGAGCCGAGGAGCTGGCCTGTATACTGCTCCTGGCAACAGTCTCACTACCTATGATCACGTGCTGATTGAAGTGATTAGAATTCACTCCTGAAGAAGGCCGACGGATGTGCGGTTGAAAATTCGAGGTGAGCAACAGTCTGATTGTGTTGAACGAAAGTACTGACTTCATCATGAGATTAGCTCTAGTTTTGGAATTACATGAAGTTTCTTTTGTGACATACCCTTCTCCAGTGCCGAACTCGGCAGGTAGAAAATCGCCGAGCTGCCGTTCGCAGTCGTGTCGGCACACCCCGTGAAGTCCGCTCCCCCCGCCGAGGGAGGGTAGTACAGTCCGGAAAAGTTGGAAATGTCCACCTTTTTAGCCTCGAAATCTGGAAAGCAACAAATTACAAATTCATGGTTTCATATTATTAGAGAGACTGAGGTAGATGCCTGCGTTATTTTGTTTATTGCTTATAGTTAGTAACTATATGGGCATGGTGGCCTTGAAAAGGTGCACTTAGGTGCACCTGTTCCACCATGCCCTCCATGTATATTATGTATGTTGTTAAGTGTAATAAATAAATAAATAAATAAATATATAAACAATGACAAATACATACCTAAATAGTAATGATAAATAAATAGCAAAAAACTCAACTTCGTCTTTTAAAATGAGGACACTTGGCAACTATGAGCCATTGATTAGCCACAGATTTAGTGGACTATTTTTATATACACATTCATACTATAATTATATCAAAAAAATATATTCGTTATTTCAATGGTAAAAATTATTCCAAAACAAGCGTAAACTGACTAGTACAATCAGTACAAAAGGAATTTAAGATGACAAGGCCCCTTGAATAGTAAGAATCTAGTGAGGGTCGTATTAACCTGATATTCAGTCTATCGTGGTTGGGGCAGGCTGTCTTCGGGGCTCTAATAGCTTTCCTCCGCCCAGTACAACAGACAGCCCGGTAGGAGTTTTACGTCTGTAAGAGCTTTGCTAATAGAGTTTGGCACGCCGGGAGTTGGTGGTAAAGGTGGGCTTTATCAAACTCCCGCCGTGAAAAACCTACCGGAGAACCAAGCTCAGGCGGGCGGGGAAGAGCTTCAGCAGCCCCGAAGAAAACCCGCCCCAACCACGATAGAATGGATACCAGGTTAGAGAGTCATACCGATGCTTGTTTCATTCGTCTTGAGGAGGTCCATTATTGAGGAGTTGAGAAACTTGGCCACTTTCCCGCCAAATTCCTCCGTCTTGAGGACGAGACTGATGACCGGATCGAATGCCGTGTCGTCCTCTGCGTCATCTTCATCTTCTGAGACCAGAGGTGTCAGCGTCTCATTCACCTAGCGGATGTAAGATGCATAGCAACTGTAACTATGATACGAATAATGTAGTACTCTCCAAGCAGAGGTTTGGGTTATGGGTTATTTTTGGCGTGTTTTTATGCTTTTTTATCGGGGTTTCTTTTTTGCACTGGATTTTTTTTTCGCCCAAGCAGAGGTTTGGGTTTTGGGTTAAGTTTGGGTTAAGTTTGCAGTTTTACCTGGTCAGCATTGCGGATGTTGTCCCACAGGTCCTTGGTGTTCTTGTGCAGAAGTCGTCCGACCGCTCCTATGTATAACTGTAGAAAATATCGGTGATAAATAACGAAGAAAATTTGGGGAGTAATAGATCAACGTCGTTGCGCCGCAAAAACGTGTTGGAAGCTGCCAAGGATACCCGAATGAAAACCGCTATTTGTTTACATTCTTTTAAGGAGCCTCCTAAAAATACACCACAGGCCTGGCGCAACTTATTCTCGCGCTGCGCTGAGTCGCCGGAACAGCGAAATAGCGACGTTAATATGTTGAAATTTATTCAAAATGCCAATCTACATGAGAAAATTTCAATTATTCATATTTAGAGTTTTGGCGCAAAAATCTTACATAATGTCGCTTTAAGACTAGACTACACGGTCATGTGGAGTGAGGTATCCACTACTTGCCCAGACGAAGTCGGCGGCGTCCTCCACGCCCGTGTCTTTGAACCCCAGCGGGTCCCAGTCGCACAGTTTCCGCACGGCCTTCCGCGCCACCTGCACCTCCCCGTCGTACAGAATCCTGTCCGGGTCCAGACTGCGCCTCAAGCGGCTCGCGACTTCTATAGCCGGGCCGATACCCCTCGGGCCGTCCGCTAACTGTCGGGGACAGCAGAAGATATAAGGCATCGGTGCTAGCCTCCTTCGCAGACTTCTGATGCGGCGACGTTGTTTTTTTAGGAGGAGCGGCGCGAGTTATGCCGCGGGGACGGTTTTGCCTACCCTGGGTGCCAGACTAGTTTCGGCACTAAGTTACTTGTAGGGCCGATAACTCCCCTCGGGCTCAACTCACCCGCAGCGGTAACTTAGATAGGCGGGCGAAGGGCTTCAGGCTGCCGAAGGAAAACGGCTTGCGGCCCGAAACTAGTCTGGCACCCAGGGTCGCTGCGGCATAACTTAGCGACGCTCCTCGGAAAAAACTTAACGTTGCCGCATCAGAAGTCTGCAAATGAGGCTACATCGGTACGCACAAAGAAATATGTATATTTCCAGTCCAATTTGTTCGTATTGCATATAAGACTCTTAGCTATAGAGTAACAGAAATGAGAAATGAACAATACGAATTAACGGACACTTTTAATTTGTGTGTGTAAAATATGTGCAAAGATAATTATATGACCCTTACCTCATCCACCATGACCTCAATGAAAAGCGGTTTGCATGCCGGTTTGAGCTTCTCATTAATGGTTCAAACACGCAAACAAACAAACAAAAAAACAAACAAAAAAACAAATAAACAAGGCGCGAATCCCTGAATAGTACACTCTCAGGAAGAGACATACATGTAACTTTTACTTGTTGTATAACCCACTAATTCTTATGCTGTAAGATTCTGGCATGAATTGATTAGCGTATAACGTTTAAAGCTATCATTATTGCAAGGGATCCGACATTTACTACTAAGAGAAGAACGACGAAAATAGAAGAATTAACTCACGTCGTTGTCGACTTGCTTCAGGTCCTCCGACACGCAGTTGTCCGCCACTCTAGACCACCGTCCGGAGGGCCGACAGTACCTGCCGATCTGCCCTTAAAATGTAGAAGAAAAGACAAACATACGCCACGTGCTTTAGATCAAGCAATGTAATACCGGTGCAATAGCCAAGTGGATAGAGCGCTCGCCTAGCATTCAGTGGGCCGTGAGTTCGATCCCCGGCCGATTCTTTCTGTCCGAGTCATACCAAAGACTTAAAAACGGTACATACTGCTTTCTCTGATTAGCACTCAGCCTTTGGGAAAGAGTATGGTAACTACCAAACTATTGAAAGAGTATGGTAACTACCACACCATTGCACAACTGCGTGGCCCAAGGGCTACTGAACTGGAGATGGGCGCCGCCCTGTGCATCACATGGTGCGGAAGGACTGACTAACTTAACTATGTACTACAGAACTTCATATTTCATGGGAGCTTTGAAAAGATTGACAATAAAAGATGATACCTTCATATCCATTCAGACAGTCCACGTAGATTGCGTCTCCAGGCGGAGTCTCTGGCCAGGGGAACCCGAACCGTGACTCCTGCTCCGGGCAAGGACTAGCACGGGAGTTTCCCTGCCCAAACTGTACGGGCAGAGGCAGACCAGCTAGCGGTACGGGACTACCGTTAGCTGGCGTGGGCCCAAACGGTCCGGTTGGCGGCGAGGATTCGCGGCCGGGTGTCGACCAGGACCCGGTGACGGGAGGACCCCCGCCTGCCGCCGAAGACGAGCCGTTGGACGACCCGCCGCTTGACGAGGATGACGACGATGATCCGCCGCCGCCCGAGGACTGGGACCCGCCGCCCGAGGAAGATGCAGACGACTGGTTGGAACCGCTTCCCGCTCTCGGTACGTTGGTGCCGACAGTTGCCTGTCCTGGACCTGTTGTTTTTCCGCGAATACGAAAGGACAAAGACAATACAAAGCTTGTAATCTGGTATCCGCCCTAACCTGCTATCGTGGTTAGGACGGGTTTTCGTCGGGGCTGCTGGAGCTCTTCCCCGCCCGCCTGAGCTAGGTTCCCCCGGTAGGCTTTTCACGGCGTGAGTTTGTTTAGCCCCAACTCCTGGCGTGCAAAACTCCTACCGGGCGGTCTGTTGTACTGGGCGGGGGAAACTGTTAGAGCCCCGAAGACAGCCTGCGCCAACACGATAGACATGATACCAGGCTAGCTTTAGCTACAAGGTTATTGTATAAACAATGTTAAAATATACATTCTGTTACGTCTCTCTTCAAGACCTTGCCCTAGTGAAAGCATCAGGTTGATTATATCGACTTCAAATGATTTTCCACGGTCTAAAGTACATAGAGAGTAAAGTACAAGTACTAAAAGAGACTCGCATAAGAACTAAGACACTCTATGCGTAAAAGAAAGAATAAGCACATGATGTGGAAGAAGATCCTTGTTCATGGTCTTACGATACCGATGAAATACCTACAAATCAAAAGTACATAAAACATATAGTTCTTCGCTGGGAAAGAAGACTTCTAGATTTAAGAAAATGTATATACTTAGCAACTGACATCACCCCTCTTATTCTACCCTGGAAGCCAAACTCGTTTTCCGGGCCGCAAGAGCCCTTCGCCCGCTGGTGTAAATTACCGCTACGGGGGAGTCTAGCCCTGGGGGAGTTTGGCTGGCCCTACGGACAAACCCCTCGGGCTCAACTCCCCGTAGCGGTAATCTAGATAGGCGGGCGAAGGGCTCTTTGCTGCCAAAGGAAAACGGCTAACGACCCGATACTAGTTTGGCATCCAGGGTAATCTTATTCAAACTCACCAGGAGTAACAGTCTGTGTCCCTGCAAAGTTAGCAGCAGACAGAAGACATATCACGAACACAAGAACGCTCCTAACTTGACACATTTTCAAGACACTATTCAAATGACATTCTTCACATCCACTGCCAACGCTCTGACTAAATTTACACACTTAGACTAGAAGAAAAGTACCCCGAGTTTATATTTTCTTTGAACCTGATGGTTTAGTTGAAATGTTTTAGCTATAACCACGCAGCAGATGTTTAGGCCACAGCAAGTAAATTTTATGGATGACTCCAAATCTAATGCGATAGGGCAAAAATAAAATACGGGCCAAAAAAACCAAGACTCTTACAGTTTCAAATTTTGACATCATAGGCCTTGTTAAACAAGAAATGATACCTATATTTTGCCATGTTTAATGTCAACTATTACAACATCCATTTGTCACTGAAAAATAAAAGTTTTCAATCATTGTACAAATAGTTTTGATTCAGTGAACATCACATTCAAAAGGAATGAAATGCATTACTGCTTCAAAGTAAAAGACAAAACATTTAACCAGAGCCTTGTCTTGTCTCCTATCTTCATATTTATCTGCCATCCACGTTACGGCATGGCAACAGACATCTTTGCCCATTTTCGGCATGTTGACCACTGTCAGAGGGCAACAAAATTCTTGTTTTTTCCCCCAAATCAGGCAAAAATTAATGCACGCGCTGATGTCATCCATGAAAATTACTTGCTATGGCCTTAGGAATATAAAAGTGGCTATGTGAAAACAACAGGTGCATTATACGATGGCTTGTTCAATGGGGCAGGCTCGTATCAAATATCTCCAGTAATGGTACTTAATACGGATGTTAATGTAAATCACTACTATAACAAAGGAGAAAGGCTATAGCACCGACTCCGAATTTCTAGTACACTTAGCTATTAACACAAAGTTTACAACAAACATTGAACAAATCTGAATAGGTGTTTGGAGAAGCATTTTCCAGGGACGTCGGTGTCAATTAAGATGAATAAACGGTGATATGAAATTACAAACGTGACAAAGGACGTATTGTTTAGGGCAGTTTTCACCGATAGATGTTCTGTGTGGAAAAAGGTTTTCATAAAATAAACAAGTCCATTTTTAATATGATTTGGTGTTATTATACTTATATTAATGGATGCCATGTCTATGATTCATGATACTTATACAAAAGAAGCATTAGGTCGTTGTTTTTCATATTATCTACGTCATATGAGCTAGCTAGGTCGTCTGTTGAGAACAAACTAACAACACGACTGTGTTTTTGTCACTTCAGGCAAACAATTAGAGATGGCAGACCTCGTCCCATTTAGCGTAGGTTAGAAACACACACATACAAACAGACTAACACACATAAACACACGCGCGCGCGCGCACAGAGAGAGAGGGAGGGATGGATAGAGGGGGAGAGAGGGGGAGGGAGGGAGAGAGGGGGGAGAGAAAGAGAGGGAGAGAGAGG